AAACTATGCAACGGAAAACTACTACTACTGTCGCGGGTCATTGGTGATGTATACGACGAGGGAGCTTAGTTTTGAGACTGCTCCTTGTAGCGTAGGGAACAGTATAGAAATTCTGTTTCACACTGTGTTGGCGGGCATGATGGACTACATTCGCTCGGTTACATCGCCGAATTCATTGTGTTGACGGTGACATTTGTATGCAGTGTGTTGATGGGAAGGCATACAGTGTATACTGTCCCGCTAATTTGGTGTTTGTCGAGTCGCTAGGGGGTACGGGAGAAGTGATGAACTAAATGTAGCAACTGGCTGCAAAATTCAGTCAACTCCTGCCATCCAAAAAAGGCACAATTTTGGCCGTATCACAAGTCTTATTTTACTCCAAGTCAACAGGACTTCTAATAATCTAGGACCGACTTTGTCCAGTGGGCCATTTGACTTGCAAAGTTATTCTGTATCAAATTTCTGGAACTGCATGTGAACAATTTCTGCATGTCGGATCACCTTTGAAAAATGTTGGTTTATTTGTGTTGAACTGAGGATTAGAAAAGTTTGTTGTGATCTGTTCTTTGGGAAAGTGTACTTCCGTTGATTTCCCATTGTTAATATTATTAATGTTACTGTTGTTAGTACTATTGCTAATACATTGTAAAGATAAGTCTCCAAAACTGTACATCATGTAAAGGTCACACAATGCTCAGAACTCAGAATTAAACGAAACTGCACACTTCAATTTACGACACATGCAAGTGGTAGTGCTAGTACAGGCGTATGAAGTATTTTAGTAGGTAATTGCAGGAGTGGAGAGAAATGAAAATAAATAAGTTATATGTTGTATATTGACAATGATTGCAAAGAAATTCAACTACAGAGGTCATCATCGTCATTTCCTGCAACTGGTTAGGAGCCGACGGCTGGGAAACCAGGGAACTTGAAATTGTTGCCGAAGCCTCGCTGTTGCTGTAAAGTTTGTGCGAACATCTCGTACCTGTAATGAACGAAAATAGTAGTAATAAGTAATAGTGGTAATAATAGAATAATTTGAAAACCGTTCCGTGAAGAACAAAAGTGGCTCGGTGCAATGAAAAAAAAAACAGGAAACTCACTTTCGGATGTCGTTGTCTGGAAAGGATCGCAAGCTTCATCATCCGTGAGCTCTTCTCCACGTTGTCTGCCTTCTTGTCTGTCCTCCTGCCTGAAATCGAAGATAATATGCAGGTTAAGGCTAAATATCTTCAGTGGCAATATGTGTATGAAGGATATGAAAAGTGGAAGGAAAGCGTACAATCAACTTACAAGCTTAACCATATCCATCCCTGGTAGTGGAGGGTCACAGAGCAGCGTTACTCCGCAAAATTTTTTTTTTTTTTGGTTTTTTCTCGAGCTGCCTATGAGTGCAATGGGTTACGGAAGATATGAAAACAACCACGTTATTGCTACTCCTATCATTGCTCCCACCGGTAAAACGCTAACATTCACTCAAAGGAAGCAAGTCCTCAAGACAATAAGCAACATGAAACGTCACCTACTGATGCTTGCTGAGTAAACCGAACAGTGCGGTCACTTGTAACTGAAGCAGAGCCGCCCAAGAAACGTTTGCCATACTGAAGCAAGCGCTTCAACTTCAGCTCATTCGGTCCGATCATCTGCACCGAATACTGTTATGCCAGGCTCAGCGGAGTTACAGCAGAAGAGGTAGAAGAGCAGTGACCGAGAAGGAACAACGTCGAAGGAATGAGGTGAACGGCATTTCTCCGTCATCGAGTACGTAAAGTGCACAATTGCACGAATACAATACCGGAACACCTTCCATTACTGTTGATAGGCTTCTTGTGTTAGTGTGAGGTTAGTGTTTCTGTTACTTTTTTGGCTGATAGTTGTCAATGTCGATAATTACAAGCAATGTTCAACAAATAATCGGGACTAAGACAGAAAAACTACAAAATGCGTGTTCATAAAGAGTATATGAATATGGTAAAACCAAAACGCTTGTCTTCAATATGGGTTCTCCGATTTTTATCTCAAACATGAGCAAATATAACAGTACTACAGACATACAGCAATGCTAAATGGGTTGTCTGAGAAGACCATTGGGAAGAGGAAACCCTTCGCACCACGAATCCCTGATCCTTCCGATGGTCCTTCCAGGACAATCCCGCCAACAATCCAATGGTGTTCCTTCATTTCTGCAGCACTGAACGTCTTCATTTCATTTCTGGGAAACTGCGTTACCGTCGATCCTTACTTACACACTTCTACACTTCCCCAACAGTTGTAATTCTTTAAAGTCACAAAAATTATAGCATTTGTGGCTGCATAACATCAAGGAAAGTTGTAACACTTTACCATCTGCGAGTTTTGCACTTCACAAACAGACATCTTGAGGAGCAACATCATCAAAAGCGACATAGCATAAAACAAGGGGATGGGATGTGGATACGGTTGTCCCGCGGCCCACCCCCCTCTTTTTCGCAGATGCACGACTCTTTCGGATTTTTTTTCTGCTTCTATTGGATAGTTTGCGATACTTAAATGACTACAACCGTTGTCAGTCATACCTGTTCACCTGTATCACCTGTCGTCCCGTTGATCATCGAATTGCTCGAGCGGGCGCCAGCAACGTCTCCATTCGTCCCTGTCGCGTGCAAGAGTTGTCCAGTGGACCCTCCTCGCTCGAGGGACACGATGTCCTTCATTCCTTTCGTTCAGAGCTTTCGTGAAGAAGTCTGACCATCGGGCCGGCGGTCGTCCAGGTGTTCGTTTGACGTCCCGAGGGATCCAGTCGGTAACCGCTCTGGTCCAACGGTCATCGCAAAATCGCATGACGTGTCCGGCCCACCTTATCTTCGATTCCTTGGCGAAAACGGCAGCGTCCCTGATCTTCGATCGTTGGCGTAGTTCGGCACTCCGGATTCCCCTCTGCACTTGCGTGTATAGGGTTACTCCTAGCATCGTCCTCTCGACAGCGCGTTGGATAACGCTGACCGCATGCTCGTCCTGCCTGCGCAGAGTCCAAGTCTCTGAGGCGTAGGTTAGGGCAGGAAGGACAGCGGAATCGAAGAGGTGGGCACGGAGCCGGATGTTCTTCGTCTTCTTCACTACTCCCTCGATGTTCTTGTACGCTCCCCAAGCCGCTCGTTTCCTCCTGCTCAGCTCTGGAGCTAGATCGTTCATCATATTGATTTCCCGACCTAGGTACACGTAGCTGGAGCATTCGGTGATGTTCGTTCCGTTGAGCGTGAATGGGGCATCAGGAACCAATCCGTTTCTCATAAACATCGTCTTCGTTAGGTTCAGCTGTAGACCAACCTTACCACAGGCGCAGTCGAAATCAGCCAGCATTCGCTCCGCTTGCTCGATGTTCGGCGTTATAAGAACGATGTCGTCAGCAAAACGAAGGTGGTGTAGTTGCCGGCCGTCGACCTTCACTCCCATGTCTTCCCATTCCAGTTGACGCATGACGTTCTCGAGAGCGGCGCTGAAGAGTTTGGGCGAGATGGTGTCGCCCTGTCGGACCCCTCTCTTGACGTCGATGATGACCTCCTTGTAGAATGGTGAGATTCTGGTCGTAAAGTTGCTGTAGAGCTCACGAAGAATCTTGATGTACTGAGTAGGGACGCCCTGGTTGCCCAAGGCTTCGATGACCGCTTCTGTCTCCACAGAGTCGAAGGCCTTCTTCAAGTCGATGAACGTGAGACAAAGCGGCATCTTGTACTCTCGTGAAACTTCAATGAGTCTTGTAACCGTGTGGATATGGTCGATCGTGCTGAACCCTCTTCGAAACCCTGCTTGCTCGCATGGCTGTCCTTCATCTAGTATTCTGCCGATCCTGTTGAGGATGACTCGAGTGAATAGCTTGTAGATTACAGACAGCAGGCAGATTGGGCGATAGTTGCCAATGTCGTCCAGGTCTCCCTTCTTGTACAGCAACACGGTCCTGCTGGTTTTCCACGGAGTGGGTACCTTGCATTCCGACAGGTAGCGCGTGAAGAGTCGAGCCAGAGTTTTGATGATAACTGGCGGCGCATTCTTCAGATGTTCCGGTTTGACCCTGTCGAGACCGGGTGCTGTACGATTCTTCACCGACTTGATGGCGTGTCGGACTTCGGAAGAGAGAACTGAGGGGACGACGTATCCATCCTGTTGCAGTTGATAAGTGGGCATGGACATGGCTATCGAAGAGATCCGAGTAGAAGTCGTGGATGACTTTCTCCATTGCCCTTCGGGATGCAGTAACTGTTCCATCCGGACGTCGGAGGCAGGTCATCTTGGTCTTGTAGCTGGCAAAGCTTCGGCGGGCATTGCGGATGCTCCTCCCAGCCTCTGCTGCTTCAGCTAATACTGCTGCTCTTCGCTCCTTGAGATCTTCCTTTATCGCCTCTCTGCATAGCTTCGCAAGCTCGGACGTGAGTTGGTGATTGCCTGCAGCTCGTGCGGCTCCACGCTGGCGTATCAGCTCGAGAGTTTCCGTAGACAGACGTCCTTGGTGACTTGCAAACTCTCTGCCTTCCTGCCACTCTCGTGAAGGTGTTCAACGAGCCGATGATATTCCTCGTCGATGTTCTCGATAACGGAATCCTCCCATAAGCTGACAAGAGAAGTGAAGTGATCCCAGTTGATGACTGTCCTGGGGCTTCGCTTCCTGAACTTTGAGGCTCTCTCAACACGCATCGAAAAGTGGAACTTTGCGCGGAGGAGACGATGGTCCGATCCCGTGTAGAACTTCGGAACAACAGCGACGTCGGTCAGGCAAAACCTTCGATTGAAGATGATGTGGTCTATCTCGTTATGGAACTGTCCATCAGGTGACTCCCAAGTCCAACGAAGGTGAGAGGGCTTCTGGAACTGCGAGTTACCATGGATGGTGTTGGTCGACATGATAAACTCAGACAGTCTTTCGCCCTGCTCATTCCAATCCATTCCGTGAGTACCGATGTGAAGTTCTTCAGCCGTTCTTCTCGGGCCAATCTTGGCGTTGAAGTCGCCGACGATGACCTTGAAGAAGGTATGATCTTCCTTGTAGAACTTCTCCAATTCCATATAAAATGCTTCGTGTTCCTCCTCGTCGTAGCTCGATGTTGGTGCGTAGGCGACGAAGATTGTCAAAGCAGGAGTTGATCCACATCTTCTCAATCTCAAACGTCCGATTCGGGTCGTAAGGCTTTCGTACGAATCGATGTTTATGGCCAAGTGCGTGTTGACGAGGACACCCACACCGCCAACGCCTCTGCTGTCGCATGTTCCAAGGAACAGTTCTTCTCCAGTATCGAAAACGGCGTGTAGCGGGCGGTGCCTTCTCGTCTCGGTCAGTCCGATGACGTCGTACTTGATCTTCCTGGCCTGCATCATCAGATCTTCGATGTGAGCTTCGGATGCAAGCGTTCGTGCGTTGAAAGTACAGATCGCCATCTTAGTCCTTCTTCGTTTAGGCAGCCTATCCGGGCCCTGAGATTCTAGCAGCCTCTCCCGAGCGGTCCTACCCAACGCTGCCGTATTGGGGGCTCCCTCAGGTTCAGGGGAATGAGGCCCATCCATATTGCTGTTTTCGGCATATTGAAGGCACACGAGTAGCTTGCCAGGCTCTGTCGTGGGCTAGGATAGACCTCCAGGTAGTTAGCCACGCTATCCTGGAGCGGAACAAGGGGCTTATTTTTTGGAGGCGGCCCCGAATCGCCTCCCATGTACTTCCCAGTCACTTGAATGCAAGCTTTTGGCTGTGCCGACATGCAGGATACCAACCGCACACACACAGAGCGCACCACACACGCAAGCATGCATGGATACACCTGTATGGAGAAGCTGGTATGAATCGACACAGCACTACAGAAACAGGGAGTCCATCCCCTGAATCCACCTGCGTCTCAGGGCAAGTACATGGTGGCTTTTGGTCCGCGATTTACCCCCTATCCGCCACCTGGGGTCGCGCCACGTAGCCTCGCCACCAACCGGCTCGAGATCTTTCAGTGAGAGAGGACCCTCAGTGAAAGAGATCCGTGGGTTAGGTCCATGAATATTTAACCCTTTCGGACCTGAATTTTTCCCCGTGGAGAAAATTTTTCTTCTAGCTATTGTTTATTACTTGTGAGCATATAGGTATCATTATGGCGAAATTTGGAAGCTATTCGATCACAAACAAAGAAACTAGAAGCTTTGAAAATTGGCCCACCTTCTTAGTTTTTAAGCTTATGTCGAAACAATTCGAAGTTTCATAGTTATGCCGAAAAAGTTTATAATCTTGCATAATATTATAACCCATAATTTTGATTTAGGAATGGATCCACTTCAAGTATTTTAAGACAAAGTCACACTTACTTGGCCGGTTGCGGGGGTCAGCGCCCATTCACTGTTGCACTTGTACACAAATACTTGCAATACTAACAGCAATAAACAATGAAATGGCCGGTTAAGCTCATAATTAGGAAGGGGAAGGTTGACTGAAGCAACCTCTAGCAGGATTAGAAAAACCATGCTGTTTCAGCGGAAATGCAAGCGTTTGAATTTGGTGGTGGCAATTGCCACCGCCAGGGCCGAAAGGGTTAATATGCTTTGTTTTTCAAAGGTTCACAAGAAACTCCGTGAACTTTTTTTAGTTTCATCTACGTT